ATAAACGTCTAAACTAAAAGACCAATTTAATGGTTAACAGAAGGGAAAGGGGAAGTAGGATGAATAAATTAAGTGAAAGGGGTGAATTGTAAGTGAAAACTAGTATTGAATTTTTTGTGGGGAATTTTATGTGGTATATGCAGACATTAGAATGATTCTCTCCTGAAATATAATATTATGCTGCAGTTACTTCAAAAAATTATTTTTTAAAAAATTTAAAGCCCCCCCCCCCCCGCACCTTTAAAGGAAGATACTTATCAAATCCCCGAAATTAAGAATGAATTAAACATGTAAAGCCAGAAGAAACAGCAGGGACAAACACCTTCAGACAGAAAGGACTGCTGTTAAATAGAATTTGCATACCATCCACCTGTTATGCCTAAGAAAACTGGTGATATCACTAAATTTAAGTATAAAATGACTCAATCTGAATATGTGTAATAGGCAATGAAAAAGAAGCAGAGGTCTCTTTCAGTTTTAGAAAGAAAAGGAAATCACTTTTAGATTCAAGAGAGAAAACAATCTAACATTTAGAAATCTGCATATTGCTTTCTGCCATCAAATGCTGCTGCATTTTGTGGTATCAGTCGTCAATGTAAGCATTCAGATAAGGCAAAAATCATGATTTAGAATTTGGATTTAACCTAGATCTTGAAGAATGGGTGGACTTCATTTAGCCTACTGGAGCCATAAATGTTTTGAGATGGCTGAACTGTGCATATAAATATGCTAAGTTGGCAGCTCAAATAAAGGGAAGCAAATAATCATGAAAATGAAGTTATTAATTAACCTTAATATGGTATTCATTTCCCAATACTTTACTAAGTCATCTTGCTATACACCTTTAAATTACCCAGTGTCATGTGTCAATTATATCCCAGTAAAACTGGGGTGCAACATTTTATTTTTTAAAAAAACACACTAAAGTAGACTGAAAAGGACTGAGTATTAGGATCAAAAATTACTCTTGCCAGTGCCTGAATGGTCATTGAGAGAAAGAATATAGTAGATCGGTTTGATTCAGAGGCTAATGAAAAGTCAATAGATTAATTTTCACCTGATGTTTTATCAGGTCAAAGAAAGTTTAGGAAAAGTTTTAGTAATAGATTCAGAGGAAAATCTTGATTATTTTGCCTGGTGATAATAAACATGGACTGTGCAGATATTATGGAAAGGTAATGTGTTATATAGTAAACATTTTAGGGAAATTAATATTGCTGTTTGATGACTGAAGTGCAGTAAATCAGAAGTCAAATGTTTACTTTCCCAGAGACTATGGAAAGCACTGTTAGTGGTAGAATAGTGAAGTTCTGGACCCTGCATGACTGATTTCATCTTGAACATGTTAAGTTTAAGAAGATAAGTTAATCAGATTATCATGTGAACACAGAAGTAGACATGAATAGCTAGAACTAAAAAAAATTGAATTATAAGTCATAGTTCCTCACAAAAATTCAGAAAAAATTAACTTTGACTAATCTCTTAGAGTATTGATTACATGTTTTGCTCTTTTCAAGTATAAAAATGTCATTTGTTTTCACACTTTTTAAAACATTAAATGTTATTATTGTTCTGTTTTATGGATGGAGAAATTTAGACACCAGGAAATTAAATCCCTTTGCTCAAGATTACCTAATTTAAGGAAGTGCAACAAAGATTCGAATCAAAATTTATTTTCCAAGCCCAAACTCCTATCTCCCATGCCATATGGTTGTATTATCCATGATAGTGTTTTAATTACATCATTTGACTTCCTTCTTATATAAGTTTCTTGAAAGAAGTTAATTAACAGTTTAAAAACTTGGGTGGAAACTAGAAAGTCAACAGATGGCTGGGCAGTGATTGGCCAATTCCTTCTAGCAGAAGAAAGCTTGGAATTATGTGGGGGAAAGCCTAAAAAAGGAAGGAAGAATATCTACCTTTTGATCTCGTTTACATTCTCCTTTCCTGCCTTACACTGCTAGTTGTTGAAATGAAAAATTTCCGCTTTGAAGATAATTACAGTAATCATTTGTGGAGGGAATGCAGTCTCTCTTTAACACCGTATACTGCAAATGTATGCCTCTTTATATGACAGCAAAATGTATATAAAATGTCAACAAAACTCATTACATTTTTACATTTCTAAGTGAGTATAAATTTCAAAAATATATAGTCTTAGGGAGAGTATCAACATTGCCTTTGCATTCTTTTTAGTCTGGAGCCCATGTAGCCGAATTTCTCTATTAGGGAGGCAGAGATGTTAGATCAGAGGGAATGAAATAGTGCCCTTCTCCAGAAGAAGCCACATGAGACTGCCCTGACAGTGGCTTTAGTGGATCCTTCCCCATTGCCTGAGCGGGTTTTTTACTTTTCTTCAGACTTTTCAGGGCATGCCAGACTATTTCATGTCTCTCTTATGTAAGGAAAAAACAAAAGGAAGTAGTTTCTAGATGACCATATTCAATCTTAACTATATGATATGATATAAGATTTTGGATCACATAAGTGCAAATTACCACCCTTGACAGGTTTTTACCTTCTAACTCAAGACCTTAGCTTACAATAGCAATATGGTTGGGGGTGGAATCCCCTTTATAATACAAGCATACAATTCAGTTATAAACCAAGAGTGAAGAATGAGTCTGAACCACTTAGGCTGGAGGTTGAGTTAACAGGCTTTCTTTTAAACATGAATGGTATTCTATGCACGTACAGAGAGATGCTTCTTCTGTGTGAAGGTGCCCCATGGTCTTCACTGTAAGTCTTCAGGAATACCTATGTGGAGTTCAGGAGGCATCTTAAATCTGGCCCAGTTTCATGTATGAATTTATACCATATTTCGGAGATGTATTATCAGTATCACTGACTAATTTTTATTCAGGCAGGACCTTAAACAGAAAGTGTTTTCTGCCACTTTTTACCTTTGGCATGTCTACTTTATGTTGATAGCTTGTCAATCTTTGTTGTCTGTACTTTTGCATCAGTTTTATGCCACTTGGAGGCCCCCATCTTTTCTTGACTCAGAGTCAGTACACTGTCAATACACACAATATTTCCATCTGTAAGGACCATTACAGTGTCAGTCTATATAACACATGCAGAATGGACAAGGCACCTGTTTTCTACCACAGCTATTGCAGGGAAAACTGTAGCACTTCTTCGTTCAATGAGTAAATTAACTCATTTCTTTCCCTTGGACCTAAAACTGAATGGGTAACATCTAATTTTCTGGAAGCAAAATTCTGCTCAAAATCTTTCAGTATTTTCCCATTTTAAACAATAAAATTCTTAGTGGTACAAATATAACTCTTGATGATTCAAGCCCATATTATGTCCAATTTTATCTACTAGCATCTCTCCCCTTTTTTTCATGCTCACTGACCTATTTGGCTTTTTCTGTAAGCCTCCATCTTCCTGTTTACACTGATTTCATTGAGGTGGCCCCTTCACTTACCACTTCTCACTCCAGTATCTAGAATTATTAGGTCCTCTGTTAAATGCACATGCAATTCTCATCTAAATGCCAACTCTGCCATTACACTCTGAACTCATCTGAACTCCTAATGTGCTTTTATCACCAGTTTTCATTTTGTCTGTCTACTAGATATGCATGAATGTTATTTTCCTTAATAAAATCTGGGCAGAATATGTACCTAATTTAGTGTTGCATCTTCCATATCACCTGAACTTAATATTAGAGGATGTTAAATTACACGAGACTGGGAGAACATAACGATTATTTTCAATTACATGTCTTTTTCAAACCTTTCCTTTCTCTGTAACTGTAAAGAGAAAGGAACTTTCTCTTTCTTAGTAAGAGAAATATTACTTTCATATTACTTATTCCATATTAAATAAGTGTAACTGAAGTAGAACCATATCTCCTGATTTTTAGTCAAAAACTCATTCCTAACTTTGAGTAACTTTTTTATTCACTTTCACTGTCATCGATTTGCTAGAGCGGGCCCAGTAACATCTCCATTGGAGACTTGGTTGTTACTATGTTTGGCATATCGAATACATCACAGGTAGCTTGCCAGTCTTGCCAGGCTCTGCCGTGCGGGCGAGATATTCTCGGTAGCTTGCCGGGCTCTCCGAGAGGGGCAGAGAAATCGAACTCGGGTTGGCCATGTTGGCTGCGTGCAAGGCAAATGCCCTACCACTGTGCTATCACTCCAGCCCTTTCTCAGCACACCTCATATAAATGAAGTCAATGCTCTTTGTCTCTTTCCATTTGTCTTATTTTAGAAGTAAGCACAATTCTCCTAGGTCTTGGATGCAATGACTGGATTTCATATTTTTATAGCCAAGTAGTATTCCATCTTGTGTATATGCCCTATCTATCCTTTCATTAGTTGAGGGACACTATGGTTATTTCCAGTTTTTTGGAAATTTTAATAATGCAGCACTAAATATTTGAAGCAAACATGTCTCATCAAATGAGTGAGTGATTTTTGTATTTTTCAGGAAAATAGCCAGAAGTAAGATAACTAGATTATATGGGATTTGCATTTTTAATTTTTTGAGAACTCTTCCAAACTACATTCTATATTGGCTGCACCAGTTACAATGCCACATCAGTGTGCAGGGATCCCTTTAAGCATCCTCTACAGTTATTGTGACTTTTCTTTTGGAGTGCTCACATTTTAATAAAGGAACATTTTACTTCTTTATTTTATTAAATAACTGTTAATTTCAGAGCTATGCTTTGATTGGGTTTCAGGAGTACAATGTTTCAACACATATCCCTTCACTAGTCCACTTCCCTCCACCATTGCTACCCCTCCCTTACTTCCTTCGGACCTGCCTGCCTTCTATGAGAGTCACTTTATTTTCCTTACAACTTTTGACACTGGTTTATAGTTTTGTTACCAATAGCATTTCATGTGCCTTTTGGCTATTTGTATGGATTAGAAAGAATATTTTACAATGGAACAGTACTAACTGTGATATACTGCTATAATGTTTTTGTTTTGCTTGTTACAGCAACCAATTACTTAACTTGTTTAACATTTCAGGTATTTCGAAGGAAAGCAGTGGAACTTGGAGTAAAATTGCTACCTGCGTTTCAAACTCCCTCTGGAATCCCCTGGGCATTGCTGAATTTAAAAAGGTAAAAGTCTTTCTTTTCTTTCTTTTTTTTGTGGAGTGTGGTAGGGGTAGTGGGCAGTTCTCAGAAAACCCAAGGGACTTTCTCTGTAATTCTTCGAGAACCAAGACAGGAGTTTAATGTGAGAACTTGAGGATGGGTACTGCTCAGGCGATAGGATGTTTGCGAGTCTGTGAACCACCCCACAGGGCTGGGAGTATCTAGAGCCAGATGTGGCAATGCCCAGGAGTCTCCAGAGCTGCATCCCCTCATGCTCCAGGGACTGTGTAGTGCCTGGAATTAAACCCTGGTTAGCTGCGTATACCTTGACTCCTGTACCATCTGTCTTGCCTCAAAACTCTTCATTTCAAGAATATATTTTAAGTTGCAATATTCAATATTATAACAGATAAGTAGTAGGGGGTCATTATATGATGGTTTTGACAGACATCATTTGGGATCTTGGACTGGAAACTGTTAGATCTTCAGTGTTCCTTGACATTAGATGGGTGCCTGTCTACCTGATAACAAGCCAGACCATGATATGAAGATTTTAGCATCTCCTTTTAATACTGCAGCACTGATCCTAGCTCACCACAGATAGCAAGAGCATCCTGTTCTTTTTTAAATTGTTATCAAAGCATTTTACCTTCCAAAGGAGCCCTCTTGAATGTAAGAGCACTTACTCCAGGGCTGGAAGTGGTTCCAGCACTTACTCCAGTTCAGAGTAAAGCTCTGTTGGTCAGAGCTTTAATTGCAGAGATGCATGGAATAATCTCATCTCCCATGCAGTGTGCTGGTGTGTAGCAGCACTCGCGGTACCCATCCACTGCTCTAAGGAGGAAGGAAAATGCTCCACTGGCTCATATCAACATTGCTTTCTCATCTCATTTGGATGAAGAATCCTGCTGTGCCAAGTCCTTAGATTCGTGGCCCTCCAGGGGTGAAAATACTGAACAGATTTTCTATTATTTGTAGAGGATGTGGTTTGAATTTTCATGATAGCTTGAGCATGTTGTTAAACAATTTTACATTAAATTTTCCTTTTTCCCATAATTAACTTTGATTTTTTGAGACTGATGATATTTTAATCACTATATGATATTAAGCTCTGTTTGTCTCTTTACACATACTAGCACATATGATTCCCACAATTTAAGGTAGTGCTGTTGTTATTTTCCTTTTACTGAAAAGAAACTAAAATCCTAATAAACAGCAAGTTATTTGTCTCAATAACTTTTAGCAAGTACTGTATGTAAATGGTAGATCCAGAATGAGCTTAGATGTCTGTGCATTGATGGATAGGCACAAATTAAATAGTTTGTATTTTAGAAATGCCAGGAAGATATACAGAGTGATTTGGCAGAATTAACAAGAAGTTTTTTGTAGTGGCATTTTCCTATAATTATTCAGGAAAAATCATGAAGTTAATCATTTAGTTAATAAATGAGATAATTGCTATGCTTTGTTTTCAGTTTTATATTATTTCCCGATAACTAGGAATCCCCATTACCTATCTACAAGTTTTGTGCTCACAGACCAAGGCAAAGATGTTGAGATAGGAAGATGGGTAGAATACATACCCCTAGACCATGTTAATCTGAATCATTCTCTACTGTATAATGTAGTGTCTCAGGGTTCATCTTTCCCATTAGTGATTCTATATTTTTTTCAGTTTGGAGTATATGCTGCTACTTTGGTCAGAAAGACAGTATTGAGGATAAAGTGTTTACCTCACATGTGGATGATCTAGGTTCAATTATGGCATCCATATGGTCCCCTAAATAACACCAGGAGGAAAGCCATTAGCACAGATCACTGAGTAAGCCCTGAGCACCTCCAGGTGTAGCCCAAAAACCAAAAAGTATTTGCTGCTGGATTTTTAAAGCATCAATGAGTATTAACCTTGGCTAAGAGGCAGCACAGTGTTTATTTAGAGACCCTTGAGTTTTTTGTTTGGTTAGCTACCGAGAGTATTTCACCCGCACAGCAAAGCCTGGCAAACTACCCGTGACATATTCGACATGCCAAAAAAAAAAAATGTAACAACAAGTCTCACAATTTGTTGTGAGACATTACTGGTGCCTCCTCAAACAAATCGATGAACAACGGGAGAACAGTGACAGTGACAGCTTCAGACTTTGGAGCTCTAGATAGTATTGTGACCTAGGTAATACTGTTTTGTAAAATAAGATCTGGTCATGGAAATGCTCTGCACGTTTAACACTTTTCCCCATCCATCTTCTGAGAAAAATTATAGGGGTATAATGGTGCACTGAGCTGAGGTTGTCAAAGTCTAGTTCTAGGTATTTTACAGCGACTATAGGTTGGTCTTTAGTAGAGACATTTCTACTTTCCAGGCTATTTGCAATATGGAAAATGTTTGTTGGTTGATTGCTTGTTTTGTGAACCTTTTCAAGTTCATGAACCATGTTGAGACCTTAATAAAAGAAACATGGCTTTTTCTCATAAAATAATATTCCCAAGCACAGATATTGTTACATAATTTTTAAAAGTTAATATGAGCTCACGTAGGACTTCAGTTTAAAATTCTGGAGTAGCTGATCACTTTTAACCCTGTTCTGATTCTATGGAACTACTTCCTAGAAGGTAAAGAAATTAGATCAAAGCTAGCTACTAAAACTAATAGAAAAAGGTGTGACCCCACATATCTGCAAATGTTTAATCAGTTTTTATGGTAAAGTACTGGTACTTAGTAGTTCAGTCTTTGAAATAAGCATAGCAAATTGGACTATTTTAAAATATTTTTAAATTGGTGTTTTTTTCTAACAGCCAAGATTTTTTTCTTCTTGATTAGATTAACCCTTAGTAAACAGCAGAAAGCTGGAGCAATAGCACAGCGGGTAGGGCATTTGCCTTGCACATGGCCGACCCAGGTTCAATTCCTCCGTCCATCTCGGAGAGCCCAGCAAGCTACCGAGAGTACCCCACCCACACGGCAGAGTCTGGCAAGTTCCCTGTGATGTATTTGATATGCCAAAAACAGTAACGACAAGTCTCACAATGGAGACATTACTGGTGCCCGCTTGAGCAAATCGATGTACAATGGGAGGACAGTGCTACATAAAGAAATGCCAAATCCTCTTTCATCTTTTATATATGTACTTCCTGATAATGCATCAATTTACGGCATCCAATTCTTTTATAAGACCCTACTTTGTTTTTATAATATTTTACTTTAGAAATTATTGTTTAATTTCAAAGTAAATAGGAAAATTGTTTATGGTGAGAAATCATGCGCCATTTCATTTTTGTAGTCTCCGATGTTCTCAAACTAAACTGGAGAAAATTTAGCAACCATTTGACATTTGATAAGAACAGTTTCTTCCTGTCAGCCTGTATGTTTTTGTTACATGTTTTCTCAGCTTTTGATCCTATTTACTAAATAGCAATGATTTACTCAGATTCACATGGTAAGTGTTGTCAAAGTGAATAGTAATATCAATCCACTATAATTCCTTCTGTATCTTTCCCCAATCAAGAACACTCATTGAAGCCACTATCTTTCCAGCTGTGAAGTTGATTTATCATCGTAAAGAATTTTTTCTCTGGGGGAAGCAAACAAAATTTCATATTTATCTGCAATAATTACATTTTGGGATGTGCTGTTGATGTCAACCTGTACATATATGTTGTTCCCATTGAATCTCTATTTTCACAGTATGTTTTAGGGCATAAGGGACAGCTGGCAGGATGCTTCCTTTCTAGTTTTTTGAAGACTGTCACCAGGAGAAGCTTCAAAGAGAGAGAGGGGAAATATGTCTGGCGAAATCTTATTTTCTTAATTACCTTCTCAGAGTAAAGGAGTTTTTGTAGAGGGATGCCCAGGAGAAAAAAACAGTGCTTGAGGATGTTTTTTATAAATTGCTACACTTTCACTGTTGACTGGCTCCTGAAACCCCTGGCAATAATTATGATGAGGAAAGCACAAAATAAGTTGTCTGTAATATCATAATTCTGTTCTTTCTGATCCATTTTGAAAATGGTTATGGATGCTGCTCTTTGCCAGCACCTATATGTTAGCAAAATTGTGTCCTCCTTGGTGTTCTTTATTCATACTCTGAGTTATTGCCTAAAGTGACTGACTTCTGTAATGTGTGTCTAGGTAAAATAATAATAATAATAGTAATAATAATAGTATAAGTATTCCTTTTTTGTCCCTGCTATGATGCAGGTTCTATCCTAGTTTTAGGAAGATTTTTCAGCTTCTCTTCACTTTACTTAAAAAGATAGCAGACATAATCTTCCCCTCAGGATACCTACAATCTGGTTGACAAAGCAGAATGCATATTTTATTCATTATAGTATACATTCACACATAAAATTGACAAATGTAAGATAGATTGTGCCAAAAAGAGATAATAAGTGCTCAGCAGGTCGAATTTGAAATAACTTACGTTTTGAATTGGGGATGTTTATGCATAGTTAGCCAAAACCCCAATAAGCCAATTGGATTTCAGTACAAATTGAGAATATGCAGAAAACTTCAATAATTTACACATGTTTTACATTAGGAGCTCCATGACAAAATCCATTCAAATAACTAAAAAATATAGTTATCTCTTTAACTATTTCAAAAATAAATCCTTAATTCAAGAGCCAATGTATTGTTACTAAGAATTGTGGTTTAATTGCAAAGGTTAATTTGATTGAACAAACACACATTATGCAGAGTACCGGATTAGACTAAGAGGCTTGCTTCACCATTTCAATAGTAGATTAAGGGTGCTCTAGATACCATGTCTGTGAAAAGGAAAGCAAGTTAGATTTTGTAGAACTCAATATCTCATGCAAAAATGTCAAACTTTGATGCCTTATCTTGTTAATTCTGTTAAAGCAATAGACTGCATTTCTTTTTCCTTCAACCTAATGAAGAAAAATCACCTCTGTGATTTGTAAAATCAAGCTTTTTGCCATTTCTATTTTTCTAGATATATTAAAAGCCTAGTTAGAGTAACTTATTAGATTTTGAGTTTTCTAAACTGTCAAACACTCTCCTCCTG